ACGCCACCTTCCCCCAGCTGGAGAGCGGCTTCATCTCCAACGAGGAGAGCAAGCAGAAGCTGGTGCCCATCATGACCATCCTGCTGGAGGAGCTGAACGCCAACGGGAAGTGCACGCTGCCCATCGGTACGGCGGGCGCGCGGCGCGGCGGGGCACCAGCTCCCGGTGGCCACGCCGCGGGGGCTCAGCGCTCTGCCTGCTGCCTGGCCAGATGAATCCAACACCATCCACCTGAAGGTGATCGAGCAGCGGCCCGACCCTCCCGTCGTGCAGGAGTACGACGTGCCGGTCTTCACGCAGGACAAGGATGATTTCTTCAATTCCCAGTGGGATCTCACCACACAGCAGGTCGGTGCCCTTGCACGGGGGGAGGGTGCATTAAACTGGCTCTGTTCCCTGCCTGTCTAAAGGCAGAGGGGGCTGCCGGGCCATCCTGCACATCCCATTATTTATCACAGTTTAGTGCTAGGGATGGAGCCTGCCTTTCCCAGGATGCTCCCAAGTCTCAGGAAGCTTATGGGGCTCCAGAGCAATGCCTTGGGTGGCCACGCTGTCATTTCCCAGCACAGCCCTGTAGCTCTTGTGCTCCCAGCTCTTCCCACCTCCTAGATTCTGCCCTACATTGACGGCTTTCGGCACGTCCAGAAGATTTCTGCAGAGGCCGACGTGGAGCTGAACTTGGTGCGCATTGCTGTGCAGAACCTGCTGTGAGTGAGGGGAAGGGCCCCGCTCTGTGCGAGCGTCCCGGCCTGCTCGTTTTCCTGACGTTTCCTCTGTGGGAATTCTGTCCGGCCCTGAAGGTTGGTCTCTAAATTCCACGTTTCCTTGCAGGTACTACGGAGTCGTCACGCTCGTCTCCATCCTCCAGGTGGGTGAGGCTAGAAAGAGGACAGAGCGAGCAGAGCTGTGCAGGGAAGGGCTGGTGTATCCCAGACGTATCCGTGTGCCGTTGGGAATAGTGCGAGCCTGGGGTGGGAGCTGGGGAAAGCCGGCTGTCCGGCTGAGCGGAGCTGGTTTTCTCTCGCCCCGCAGTACTCCAACGTGTACTGCACCACGCCGAAGGTGCAGGACCTGGTGGATGACAAGTGTCTCCAGGAAGAGTGTCTGTCCTACGTCACCAAGCAAGGTACGGGGACAGCAGAAACCCCGTTCCTGGCCACCCTGCACTGAGACGGAGGCTGGGGACACCAGCGGCGCCTGTCCCCGCAGGGCACAAGCGTGCTGGCCTCCGCGACGTCTTCCAGCTGTACTGCGGCCTGAGCCCTGGCACGACCGTGCGGGACCTCATCTCCCGCTACACCCTGCAGCTCCAGCGCGTGGACGAGAGGTCTGAGCCGGCGGCAGCTTTCCCCGTTCCGGAGGGCCGGGCTGGCCGGGTAGGACGGTGCCGCACGCACGTGTTCATGCTCTCCCCTCGCCCCCAGGAGGCTCATCCAGTTCGGCTTGATGAAGGGCCTGATCCGGCGGCTCCAGAAGTACCCCGTGAAGGTAGCGCGGGACGAGCGGAGCCACCCGGCCCGACTGTACACGGGCTGCCACAGCTATGACGAGATCTGCTGCAAGACGGGTGAGGAGCGTGGGGGGGCCGCGTCACCGCGGGGGGCTGTGTTGCTGCCAGCAAAGCCCGCGAGACCTGCGTGGTGTCCAGATTCCGGCCCTGCCCTGTTCCTTCCCGGATGCTAATGCTGCGGGGAGCCCTGGCTCGCAGCTGGAGGGTGGGCAGGGTCCTGCTGCACAGCTGGAGGGGAGGAAGGGGACATCCCGGTGGCAC